AGAGAGAGAGAGAGAGAGAGATACATAAGTTGGAATATTCACACTGAAGGATCTAAGTGATGTGGAAAGAAAGAAAAAGAGGGGAGAAAAAAGTGTAATTGCGATGCTCGCCATTCAAAAGGGGGTAGAGAGAGACAGAAAAAGTCTTTCCTTGGTGTGTATATATATATATATATATACCTAAATGAATTGTATGTTGAGTGGATTACACACAATTATACGTGCATACATCGGTGTGTATGTCTACGGCTATATATTTCAGAGGTTTATATTTGTGTTGAATTAAACGAAAAAAAAGGCTACGCGCGTATACATTATGCATGAGTGTGTGCGAGACAGAGTGAAGGGGGATATTTTTCAAAACCCAAAAAAAAATTTCGTGTGAGGGGACAAGAGCAGCCAAGAAGGTTCATAACGAAGGATGAGAAGAAAACAAAACGGGTTCCAAGGGAAATTTATTTGGTCAAATCTCTCTTTCGTGGTGCTTCTGTTTGTTCAGATCTTTCTGGCTGTGGTCCCTCCAGCATGTGTAATGTTGCAGATACACACAGAGGTACCGGGAGAGAGAGAGAGAGAGGACGTGTAAGTATGTGAGTACTTGCTTACGAACAAAGGGGGCACCTCTTTCTCTCTCTCTCTCTCTTTCTCCCTCCTCGTATATATATATATATATATATATATACGTGTGCGTTCATATATCTCTGTATTTGTGTGTCTTGGTTGTGTATCTTTTTGCTTTTCGAAGTTTGTAAAGGTTAATAAACTTGATATATATATATATATATATATATATATGGTTCAGCACGACTGGAATAAGCGATATAGTAGGTACACTGCAAATAGGACACGGGAGGTGGGGATGTGGGGGGTACTAACTGTTGTTTTGCTTGGCTGTTTCCATTCGTCGTGGCAACACGCGGTGGAAAACAGGTGTACGTAAAACAATCATGATGATGATAATAACAATAATAAGCAAAGGTTGAGAAAAAGAAAACGAAGAGAAGGGCAGCATTCTCTTGGCCGCTGTTTGTGTTTTTTGTCACGCTAAATGCACATTATTTTTGTGTGCACGTACGCTAGTACTTGTGCGTTCTTTTTTTTTGTTTGTTTCCCGTTTTATTTGTGTTCCTTAGTTGACAAATAAGACGTGTTCAGGACTTCGCATTTATCGATCACCAACACACAGGAAGAGGTAGGTATGGTTGTATCTGTTTGTGGTGACACCGCCGTTACTGCTACGGCTACGGCTGCGGATGACGTGCGCGGTGGTGTGGATGACGTTGTGCGCATCGACGGGGTGTACTACGATACGGCGCGGCTAGCCGCCACGCACCCCGGCGGCGCCATGATGGTCAACATGGCGAACGGCACCGACGGCACCCGCATCTTCCTCAGCTACCACCGTCGCCGGTTCCCGCATGAGAAGTACAAGCATCTGCAGGTGGCTGCGGCGGACGTGCGGCCCGGTGCCGTGCCGGAGAGCGAGCCGCCGAAATTTGACAGGTACCTGGAGTTGTGCGAGTTGGTGCGACCGGTCCTGGCGCCCACCGGTGGCTTTGCGCCGTTGTACTACTATATCAAGGCTCTGCTGTGGTGCGTGATCGTGATTGGGCTCGACCTGTACGCTCTCTTCGCATGGCGCCCGCACTACTTGACGATCATTCAGTCTATGGCAATGGCTATGATGGGTTTAAATGTCCAGCACGATGCCAACCATGGTGCACTGAGTCGGAATCCAATGGTGAATGGCCTTTTTGGTTTGACGCAGGACCTTATTGGGGGAAGTCGTATTAGCTGGATCATCCACCACAATTTTATACATCACATTTATACCAATGAACCAAAGCGTGATCTGGATCTAGACATACCTTTGCTGCGGCTACACCGGTTTGTACCTAAGCGTTCGTATTATGCCCTTCAGCAGATGTACTTCATTGTTTTGGAAGCTGTCTTTGGCCCTGTTCACGTTATCTCCAATGCATTGTTTTTATGGCATGGACCGAACGAGCGGCAAAAATTTCTGCGTGGGGTGTGGAACATTAGTCGTGTTATGACACTAATTCCGCCTCTGCGGTTGGCGTTCAATTTCCTACACGCTCCATCTCTTTTTGACGCGGTGCTGGGTTCTTTTTTGCAGTACGCGCTTGGAGGTATGTATCTCGCTTTCTTTTTTGTGATATCTCACAACTTTTGTGGGGCGAAGAAAGAGGGGACAAGCGACGGTAAGTGTTTTCTTGCGGCGCAAGTTGAAACGAGTAGCAATGTAGGTGGTTGGTTGTTGGCTCAGTTAAATGGCGGATTGAATTACCAGATTGAGCATCACCTTTTCCCTCGCGTTCATCATGGCTATTATTGCTATCTTGCGCCCATCGTACAGGTGTATTGTGCCAAACACGGCATTCCGTACACCCACTTCGAGACCGTACAGGACAACGTGATCAGCACCTTTGACCACTTGGCTATTTACGGGCAGGGGCTGGAGGAGACCAAAAAAGCTTAGATGTGAGAGTAGTAGCAGTAAAAAGGGGGCATATGGGCGCATTTCTTTCCTTAAAATCACTCTCAAAAGCGTGCTGGTGTTTCGCGGCTTCTCCCATGCCGGTGGTACGTTGTGGGCGTGTGTGTGTGTGTGTGTCTCCCGTTGTGTTTCTGTTTTCATTTTTGTTTGATTCTATCACACATTTTGTGATGTGGATGTATGTCTGTCTGTCTGTGTGGGGCTCTACCGTGAAGGAAGAAACATAGTATATATTAGATATATAATAACCTCGTATACAAATAACAGGACAGTAATGCCGAATGTTCGTGTAAAAAGCGACCAGAACGTGCAGTATACGGATGAGGCTATTGAGGTCAAGTACGCGTACCGCACAACACACGTGACAAAGGGAGATGGCGGGGAGGTGACGGTGGAGCCCGTAGATGTTGCGCTGCGCTTCCGCACACTGCGCAAGCCTGCTAGGTGTGGCGTAATGCTGGTGGGCTGGGGCGGCAACAATGGGTCAACCGTGACGGCGAGCATTGTGGCCCACCAGCACGGCGTGACGTGGCGCACCAAGACGGGGATGAAAGAGCCGAACTACTTTGGTTCCATCACACAGTCCAGTACAATGAACATGGGGCTCACTTCTGACATGGAAGAGGTGTTCGTACCGCTCAAAGATGTGGTTCCGATGCTGAATCCGACTAATCTTGTCATTGGCGGATGGGACTGCAGTAGCATGAGCATTGGTGACGCCATGCGCCGCGCGCAGGTACTGGAAATCACCCTGCAGGATGCGGTGTATGAACACATGAAGGATATGAAACCACTACCCGCGGCGTTTGATCTTAGCTTTGTTGCAGAGAATCAAAAGGAGCGCGCAGACAATGTGATGCTAGTGCCAAACAAATGGGAGGCGCTGCAGCAGCTGCGGCACGACATACGCGCCTTCAAGGAGGGGCATGGTCTCGAGAAGGTCATTGTGCTCTGGACAGCCAACACGGAGCGCTTTTCAGAATATGTTGAGGGAGTACACGACACTGCCGAGAACCTTCTCGCCGCGGTTAAGCGGAATGAGTCGGAGATTGCACCATCGGCACTCTATGCAATGGCCGCCATATTGGAGAACTGCAGCTACATCAATGGCGCGCCGCAGAACACGCTTTGCGCTGGCCTTATTGATCTGGCACATCGTCATGGCGTTTTTGTTGGTGGGGATGACTTCAAAAGTGGGCAGACAAAAATGAAGAGTGCGTTGGTGGAGTTTTTCGTTGCTGCCGGCATCAAGCCAGAGTGCATTGCGAGCTATAATCACCTCGGTAACAACGACGGGCACAATTTGGCGGCGCCAAAACAGTTCCGCTCCAAAGAGATCACGAAGAGCAATGTGGTGGATGACATGGTGGCGTCCAACAACATCTTGTATCCGCCCGGCACTAAAGGGCCAGATCACTGCATCGTCATCAAGCACCTTCCATACGTAGGCGATAGCAAACGCGCCATGGACGAGTACAGTTTCTCCATCTTCATGGGGGGTGAGCAGACGGTGGTGCTGCACAACACATGTCAGGACTCCTTGCTGGCGGCACCTCTTATCATTGACCTCGTCGTGCTGACGGAGCTTTTGGAGCGTGTGTGTGTGACAATCGACAGCGAAGGTGGCGAGCCCAATGAAAAAGCAGCCAGATCATCTTATACACAGATGGAGACTGTGCTGTCGTTGTTGTCATATCTCCTTAAGGCGCCGTGTGTTCCAGCAGGTACACCTGTGGTGAACGCGCTCAACCGCCAGAAACAGGCTATTGACAATGTGTTGCGTGCCCTCGTTGGACTCCCGCCGGATCATAACATGTTGCTGGAGTGCCGTGTACCGTTTTTACGCGGTAAGATGTCTCAATCAGTGAGAGAATGAGAAGAATGTTGAGGTGTGGAGAAGAAGTACGGTGAGGTTAAAAGAGTAGGTGGTATGTGACGTCCCAGTCAGTGTTTTTCGGTATTCAAAACGCGAGCGTAAACCAATGGATGGTGCATAATTCTGGTCATTTAAAATGGGAAAAATCGTGGAATATTTTTCTTGTCAAAGGTCCCATTGCCATAGAGTATTGAAATCGATGTTTTGCCAGATTGATTGATATTTTTTTTTGCTATTGTGCCAAAGGGAGCATCACTTCCCTGTTGGGCCACTCCATGTATGCGCGTCCGCCTGGTTGGTGCCTGTTGGCATGAAGCATGTTTACGGGCGTATACAACTTCAACCCTCTATGCTTCTTCAGTTATTGGGTATTATTACTCTTTTGTTTTGTTTGTTTGTGTCATTCTCTGAAAGGTCTTCACGTAGAATAGAGAAAAGAGGGAGTGTCACCCCCGTCCCCATCTCCGGCTCCATTATTCTCTGCAGCGGCCACCACAGTCATGACGATGCGCACCGATTACCCCCGCTACCCGCGTGACGTGCGGGAGAAACAAATCGTCTCGCGTCCCGCGCGGGAGCGGCGACTGGCAGAGCTGCACCTTACCGCCTATCCCAGCGTGGTCAACGAGAGTGAAATGCCAACCTACGCCGACATGGACGATGGACAGCTGCAGCAAAAGAAGAAAACAATGCCTATGCCAACGGTCAGGATGGGGGAACGGGGCGTTGCACTCATGTCAACGAACCAACTCGTCGCGCGCATGGCGGAAATGGCGCGGGAGGAGGCACGCCAAAAGGCAGAGTCGACGACAAAGCAACCGCTGCTGGCCCCTCACGGCCGCGGCGCGGCGCACGGTGTCCCGTTTGATCGCAGCTCAACGTACCGCCTGGACTACTGCAGCAAGGAAGCGCCGGGCTTCCACCAGCGGGTGCGCGTTATACCGGACCACAGAAAGGATTGGAATGAAACGGACAAGGCAAACATTGACGCAGCCAAGATGTTTCCATACTTAACAATGCCGGAGAGTATGCTAAAGAATCGGCCAACCGTATACCGCCATGACTACATCCCTGAAGCGGATCGCGAGGATTACCGGACGCTCTCACACAAGACGAACCTGCAGGACGTCGGCACCTCCTTCGCGTATTCTGCGTATTCCATCGACGACCCAGCCCGTGTGGTGAAATACGACAAGTGTGTCGCCTCGTGCCGACATCCCCGCTGCATATTGTGGAAGACGTACAGTCCACGGGACTCCTTCATGGAGAAGAAGCGGACGCCTGAGTCTACATCCGAGGAGTTGAACCGGCTGCGCGAACTGCGACGCAATCAACTCTCGCGTTCAACTCAGAGCAGCTCGTCCTCCGGGAAGGCTGCAGCGGAAGCTGGGGATGGGAGGGGTAAGAAGATTGTGTTGCCGGGTATGCGGGGGATGGGATCACGTCAGGCACCGAGGCACGGTGAGGAGTACATTTACCTCCCGCGGGATCACTTCGTCCATCAGACAGTGTACGATTACTAGCAGGGGTGCCACACACTCACACATCATGCACGAACACACAAATTACTGTACAGCACATACCGAAAGGCCCGAGCAAAGCGACAGAAGCAGATGCCAGCGCATCACCTCCAGGTGTTGTGAAGTGGGAAGAGTTGAATGTTGTGTACCCGCATATGTGTGCAGGTATGGGGAAAAAAATGAGGCCCGCTATCAAAGGTACACCACAAAAAAAAAACCAAGAGAAATGAGGAAGGAAGAGATGAAGAAGAAGGAAGACCCCAAAAAAAGAAGAGAGAGGGGGTGGAACACATATAGGAGACGTGAGATGTACATTGTTGAAGATATGCAATCTATTTGGATTCTCTGATTGTAGACTTGGGGGCTTTTTTTTTTCGTGTAAAATTTTATTTGTTGAGGAGTCCATCTGTTACTTGTGGTGTGTTTTTTGCGGATTTTTTTTTTTCGTTCCTTCTTTCCTGTAGGGAGGGTGGTCTCTCTGTAAATCATAATGGCAGTGGGGTTGCAAAGTGCACGGGAAATAGGTGCATGTTGGCGGCAAATCTCAACGGCAAGCTTCAAGGATACCCCAGACGAACGACTCAAGGTGTACAATGCGCTCGCCAACCTTTCGGGCCATGGTAGTGAAGCAACTTCTTCCTTGGATATGTGGACAGCGGCGATGTTAAAGGCGGTTCAAGATCCGTGGTCCCGCATACGCAAACTCGGACGTGAGCGACTCCTTCAGGATGTCGTCGCTAATGCAGCAAAGATGAATAGAGACTATGCCCAGCTTCTGCCGAGTCTTCTCGTTTACAAGTGGCCCCGGCTACATTTTTGGTATGAAAGGGAAGGACTCCTACTACTACTACTAGGTTTGGTATCCTGCACGCCAAGTGTGGTATCGGATAGGTGTGTGTTGGCTCATGTCTTAATACAAGTGGTGTTACCGTCTCTTTCAGACCCTCAGTTACCAGTGCGCGAGGTTGCAATTAAGATAACGGTACAGATAGCGCGACTAAGTATCGAACTTGCCTCTTTCACTTTGGACTACGTGTTTGCACTACTCAAGGAGTGCGTTGAAGGTGCGGCCGAGCCTGAGGCTTTTCGGGTGGAAAGTTTTCTTAGTTGTTTTGAGAATATTTTGAGCGTACATGCAGGCTTGTTTCTAACACGATGGTGGGATAAGTTGCAGATTCTTCTTCAGCAATTAGCTATCCATTGCGCTGCTAGTGTTCGTCAAGGAGTAGCGGGGGTGTGGGCCTTGCATTCTCCCGAAGCCTTCGCTATGCTTCGGATTGCGACGATACAGAAGGCACAAACACCATCGGAAAGTGACGATTGGTGGCGAATGGTTGAAGCGCTTCTTATGGCGTTGCAAGAACAGCTGACACATTACTTATGCTTCCCAGACCAGGTGGCAGCGTTGGGTCTGGAGGCGCGAGGGTCCATTGCCGACTCCCTTTATGCAATTCTTCTGTTTGCTGAGGCGAAGCAATTCGAGGTGTCACGAATGGGAAAACAGCTCGTACCGTTAATCACGCAATTTTGGGTTCGGTTCGCGCATTCACTTGATTTCTTGGAGGACTGCTGTGGCAAAACGGCAGTGCGATTCCGAGAGCGCAGACACTTCTCAACACTTTTCTTACCTGGTCTTCTTTGGTTTCTCGCGCTGCGACGCTATGTCCTACCCTTGGCGGAAGTGGAAACTTTGAGAAGCGCTGTCGCACAACATGTGGTGCCTCTCCTCGGAGGGAAGTTGGAGGACTTCTTAGATCCAACAGCAAAGGGGAGTAAGATCAAGGAGGAATCATTATCAGAGGCAGTAAGATGTTCCTCGCGATCTGACTTTTCCTTGCCAATTATACTTCTTTGTACCTACCTCCCTGAATGTTGTAATGACTTTGGTGATACGGAAATGATAGAGTTTGCCTTGAGCGAAGAGGCGTGGGAGAGAGCACTCTCCGAGGATGCAAACAATGCAAAGTATGCAGTTGATTTCGCCCTTGCTGTGCGAAATGGTGGTGGAACGGTTACGCATCTTGTTCCTTTCTGGCTTCAACGATTCTCTGGAGCTTATACGCATCAGCAATGCCTAACCCTGGAAGCGGTGAAGATTGCAATTGGGACACCAAAGCTTTGGGAGGCACGGAAGCCCTTTGCTTTTGCGTACCATTCGGCGTTTGAAGCTCCTACGATACAAGATGGTGGGGATGACGTTCCTCTCGGAATCAGATGGCTGAAACAGCACTACCCGACACACACTTCACTACCGGGAATAACATCGGTGGGGTTGAAGGAAGACAACCAGGTGGTTAAAATCCCCGCAATTCTTCACGATGTTGTTTACAAAAACATGTATGCTTTAAAGGGGGCGGAGCCTTCCGCACTACATGCAGTGCGGTCTTTGATGTTGGTGGAGTGTGAGGCGGATCCGACGCGGGAAACAATTGCAGCTGTGGTGGCGGCTGTTGTCGCCCGTCTGAATAACGTGGCTCCAAGTTGGCGCGATGCGCCGGCACATTCGAGTGGTAAAAACAGTGATGCCCCCGATATGATTCAGCGCCACGGCAGCGAAAATGGTGATGGTGGGGCTTGTGGTGATTGGGACGACTCCGGCAGTGAAGCCGACGTTGCGGGCATCGCTCCGGGCGAGGAGATCAGGGAAGCCAGGGGCCTCCTCGTGACAATTCTGAGGACCCACTTCGCAGGTGATGGGGATGCGTTTCTGAATGAAGTCTGGCCTACTGAGCGTGAAGGAGTGCGCTTCTTGTTGGGTGTATGCTGCAGATCTTTTGAATAGATATTAATACAAGGATGAAATAGGCGTGGAATGAACTGAAAATGGCTAACTTGTAAGTCGTGCGCCCTCTGGTGTGGCGAGCGTCGCAATGCACATGGCTGCATTCAGGTACTTTTTTTTTTCTTTTTTATGCCTCTTTGTCGTTGTGGAGAAGGCACGCATTTTTTTTTTTTTTT